CCCCAAAACCCCAAAACCCCAAAACCCCAAAACCCCTATTGGATAAAGGTTAGTTGAAATACTACAACTTAATAATATTACATTGTAACTAAAATGAACTCCATTCCTAAAATTACCTGAGATGAGAACATCTCTGATGAGTTTTTAAGCGAAGAAGTATCCTCCTGCAGAGTCCCTACCTCCAAGAAGATTCTGGAGAACATGAGCTTTAAATCTATGAGCATGAGGAAGCAGACTGGTGTTAAGAGACTTAGTTTTAATCCAAGAGATGCTTCTTATTGTGTCCAGAACAACGACCTTACTCATGGGCTTAAAGAAAATAGCAACAAGCAGAGCTATTGGAGTGAAGAAATCAAATATGGGAATATTAGCAAGCCCCGTATCTTATCTTCATCTGCCAAGACAGGCAAACCAAGGAACTCTTTGAAATAAAGAGATTAGCAGTCTTTTGAAAGTAGCTGCTGAGATTAGAAGCAATAAAAAGTCAAAGAGTACTTTTTCCAAACAGAACTTTCCAGAACCTCCTCAGAAGAAAAGAGAGCCACCTATCTGTAATGATCTGACGATGAGAGACGTCAAGCCATCTGTTTAATAATAAGCTATGAATATTGTCATTAATAAAGTCTTTTGAATTATTTCTTCCTTTGGGAATTTCTAAGAATAAGAAATTCAGGCTGTTGACAATATTATATCTAGGCTAAACTATATTATGAACTATAAAAGCTTAATCTCCATTTTTTGTATTAAGACATCATTTATTTGTTAGAAGAGGCCTCAGAATTAATATTGCAGAAGGATAAATGTATGCATTAATCAATCCATTTGAGTTGTTAGTGTATTTTTTGAATTTTAAGAAAAGGTAAAGTATACCTCAACTTTATTTTGGCTCCATTAATTATTACAAGCTGCTGTTGATCATTGAAATTTTTATTTCTCTGTTCCTTATAAGGCAAGGGCTCTCTCATATCTCCTTATAGAGAAGTACTTTAAAGTAAAAATTTATTTTTAAATCCCATGTTGGACTAAAAAGGTTGACATAATTTTATGGTTTAACCTTGAGAGCATTAACAAACTTTTTTTGAATTACATATCCAAATTTCATAAATTATCAAAATTTTATAGTCTCCTTAATCCTATTAATAGTGTTAAAAAGCTTCTCTATACCAAAATTTCTTGTGTTTCATGGAGAGAATTCATCTGAATAAGAATGCTTCACCCACCTCTATCTCGAAATCCCTCGAACTTCACAATTTATGAAGACTTAATATTAACAGTTCTTATCATCAAAGAATACTTAGATAACAAAAATAAAATCTAACTTATCCCCACTAATCTGTTATAGTTTACACAAAATATAAAGATTCAGAAAATCTCAGCATAAATATAATATTTTCATAAATTTACTATCAAACGTTAAAAAATTCTACATTCTCTAAAGACAAGCATTTAATCACCTTCGCATAACATTCAGACTCTTCCCACCATCCAAATCCCATAAAATTTTCCCACATATGACCTCCAAACCCCCCAAAATTCCCAAACTTCTCATCCCCCAAAACCCCTATCTCCCCAACCCCCTCTTCTTCCTCCTCCTTCTCATCACCCATCTCACTCTCTCAGATCCCTCCTTCCTCAAAATCCCCTTCCCACCCACCCTTCCTAAAACCCCTCTTCCGCATAAACCTTATTTTTATTCAACTGGTCCTCCTAGTCTCGGGGTTTTGGGGTTTTGGGGTTTTGGGG